CAGCTCTATCCAGGAATATACACGAGGTGCTATATCACCACTGTTTCTTAAAGCTGAGTAGTACTCCATGGTATACATATACCACATTTTATTAATCCACTCATGAACTGATGGGCACTTGGGTTGTTTCCACAGCTTTGCAATTGTGAATTGTGCTGCTATAAACATTCGAGTGCAGGTGTCTTTTTCATAAAGTGACATTTGATCTTTGGGAGTAGATGGCCCAGTAAGTAGATTGCTGGCATCCAATGTAAGATCGCATCTTGTATCGCTTTGAGATATCTCCATATTGCTTTCCACAGGAGCGTTGAACTAGCTTGCAGGTCCAACAACAGTGTAGGAGTGTTCTCTCTCTCCACATCCATCGCCCAGCATTTATTGTTTGGGGACTTTTGTAGAACCCGGCCCACTCTTACTGGATTAAGTGATATACTCATTGTGTTTTTGATTTGCTAGTATTCCCTGATGATTAGAAGATGTTGGGGAGCATTTGTTCATATTGTTTGTTGGCCATCTATTCGTGTCTTTTTTGAAAAGTTCTGTTCATGTCCTTTTGCCCATTTTTTGATTGGGGTTTTTGATTTTTTCTTGTCTGATTTGTCCTGGAGTGTTCTAAATAGTTCCAGTATGAGGCACCTTATCGGATCGTGTAGCTTGTGAATTTTCTTCCACCCGCGGTTGTCTGTTTGCCCTCTTTGTACATTTACTTTGGCGCTGGTGCGAGAGCTTTTAATTTTGATCAAGGTCCATTGTTTATTTTTGTTGGCTGGTTGTGATTGCCTTTGGGGTCTTCTTCATAAATTCTTTGCCGTATTGCCGAGTCAGAAGAGTATTTTCAACATTTTCCTCTAGAACTCTAATAGGTTTCACAGCTAGAGATTCGATCTGTTACCCAGCGTGAGCTGATTTTTGTGAGTGGTGTGAGACGTGAAAGTGGTGGGCGTGCTTGTGGCAGTCTGGCTACATGTGGCGTATCCAGTTTTCCCAGTACCATATATTGATAAGCGATCTTTTCCGCCGCCAGTTGCGTATGTTTAGGCTCTGCTTGTCAGAAGATTTAAGGTTGGCCTATTATGGAGGGATCGGTTTTATACCTGGGTCTCTGTTTGTCCATGGTCAATGCCTGTCTGTGCAGTGAAAACTGTTTAATGACCTGTAGCGGCTTGTTAGTATAGTTGATGCCTGGGTAAATGATACCTTCGCGTATTGTGTTTATATTGCCTAGGATTGCTTTTGCTATACGGTCTTCTTGGTTCCATAAGGAAGCGTAAAATATTTCTCTATATCTGTGAAATGATGATGTAGGTAGAATAGGACTGCATTTGAGTCTGTAGGTGCTTTTGTGTAGTTAGAACATTTTAAACAATTGTCAATTCTTGGCAGGTCGGGATGAGCGGTTCATGGGTATATTCTTCCATCTGTGTTACGTCCTCTGCTGTTTCCTGTCTTCAGTGTTTCATAGTTTTCCCTGTCTAGAGTCTTTTACGCTCCTAGTTGAATATTTTTGAAGCGACTGTTATTTTCTTGTTGCTATTTTGGAAGGGATTGAGTCTGTTGGAATGCGTTCTCATTTGCACTGTTAGTTGTCCGTATGTGAATGCCTCTGGACTTTCTGTGTATTGATTTGCTATCCTGAGACTTTACCAATTCATTTATCATTCAAGGCAATCTCGGTTGTTGAATCCTTGCGTTTTACTGCGTGATATGATATCATGTCATCATCAAAGAGTGAGAGTTTGATTCTCTTCCTTCCCATTTGGACGCCCTTAAATCGCGCTCTCCTGCCTAATTGCTGTAGCGAGGACTTCCACACTATGTTTAAACAGAAGTGGAGATAGTGGCAACCTTGTCTTGTTCATTATTCTGATAGTGGCATGTCTTTCAATTTTTCCCCCCATTCTGATGATATGGCTATGGTGCTTATAGGTGTATCATTTTTATGCGAAGCTCCATCATATGCCATATTTCTTGCAGCCTTCTTGATTATAAACGGTGTGATTTGGTCAATGTTCTGCATCTTATTGAGAGATCACATGGGTCCTCTAATATATATTGCTTTCTTATATGGTGAAATTACATTTATAGATGTGCGTATGTTGAACCATCCCTGCATCCCTGGGATGAAGCCCACTTGGTTGTGATGAATTATTTTCTTGACAAGCACCTGGATTTGACTGGCTAGGATTTTGTTCAGAATTTTTGCATCTATATTCATAAGGGATATTAGTCTGTAGTTTTCTTTTTTTGTTGCATCCTTTCCTGGTTTTGGTATCAGGGTTATGTTCGCTTCATAAAATGTGTTGGGGAGGATTCCATCCTTCTCGATGTTGTGGTATAATTTCTGCAGGATAGGCACCAGTTCTTCTTTGCAGGTGTGGTAAAATTCAGCTGTGAAACCATCTGGTCCAGGACTTTTAGGAAGGTTTTTTATTGCTGTTTCAATTTCAACAGGCCACTATTTAAATGATAGCATACGATCTTAATTTTCAAAAAATACATGATGTTGAATACACAGCTAGAAAAATCTAACAAATTTTTTTATTTTGTGACAACCTCAAAACATTTTATGTAAATTAAAATTCATACAATTTAAAATTTTAAATATCACTATTTTCATAAATATTTAGATAAATATGAGCCTTAGAATTCTGGTTTAAAATCTAAAGTACCCTAAAATCCTAAAGAAATGACTTCTGAATACAGTACTGTCTTTTACTCAGTGCTGCATTTGCCCATTGAACAAAAAATTATTCTCTTTCAGAAATAGCTCTAAAATGCTCTGACTCTGCCTAAAATGTTTTACATGTTTACAAAATGTTCTCTGAAGGAAGTGTGGCAACCAGAAAGTGTAGTGTAGAGCCAGGCCCCAGCCCAGGGGCAAAGTAGTCTGCCTGCAGAGCGCACTGGATCTGTGTCCCTCCCACCTTCTCCAGCCACAGTCTGTCCTCCCTACACAGGCCACAACTTGCGCTAGAGCTGCTCTAGTCTCTCAGGAACTTGCTTGTTATTTTAACTGTGTAGATAAAGCTTCCTGGTTCAATACGCCCTTCTCCCCTCAAAGAAATGTTCTCTGAAAACATAATTTAACACACCATTTTTGTATAGAGATACTATTAAAGTTACATGATTCACCTAAAATATTCAGAAACAAAGAAAATAGTTCAAAGTTGCAGTGACTCTGGTGTCCAGGCTTAGGAGCTGGAATTGAAAGCAATTAACATTCTCTGAGCCAGAGCATTATATTTTCTCAAGACCTTCTCATTTCTATAGCAAATAATGAACCAGATATTCCTTGTAAATATTCAAATAGCTTTAGAAGATACTTTTTGAAATCACTAATTTCCCCAAGGTAGGACAGTTTCTGTCACTTTCATCTCACATACTCATTCAAGAAACTTTAAATTGACTTTTTCGTGTCCAACCTTTGACCTCCTTAAATAAAATTTTAAGACTGAAGAGTTCTTATAATTTAGTTAACTTTATAAATAGGTAACTTTTGAAGCTATCGATGTGAGGCTTAACTATATAAATCTACCTGTACAATTTCTGATCTACCACTATACTCAAGAAAGGCTAACTACTGTTTCCAAAATCAGGAAACACAACAAATTCCACTATAGTCCTTTTCTAATAATTTTGCATCATTTCTCTTTCTGTACTCAAAATTGCAGGTCTCTTCCTCTATCCACAATGTCTGTTAAAATTTTTTCTGGTTATTTTTTAATGATATTTTTAAAAAGAAAACCAACCCAGCCTAAAAAGGCAATAGTTAAATCACGATGGTCTCTTTAACAACAGCAACAACAAAACGTAATTTCTACCAATAAAGAATATAGAGGGGAGGGGGGAATCAAGAGAGGCTGATTAATGGATACAAATATATACTTAGATAGAAGAAATAAGACCCAGTATTGGTGACTATAGTTAATATTAATCAATTGTACATTTCAAAATAACTATAAGAGAATAATTTGGGTATTCCTAGTATAAAGAAAAGATAAATATTTAAGGTGACGGATATTCCAATTATCCTGATTTGATTATAAAAAGATCAAATTATCACATGTACCACGAAATATGTACATCTATGTACATATTGTATCAATAAAAAATTTTTAAAAAGATAGAATCATGTTTCTATTGTTTTTAAACATACAACTAAAGCAGCTTTATAATCATCAAAAACTAGAAAATGCCCAAATGTCTATCAACCAGTGAATGGATGAACTAACTGTGGTATATCCATACAGTGGAATACTACTCAACAATAAAAAAGAACAAACTACTGATAGAAACAACTACTGATGCACAACAATAACATGGATGCATTATGCATTATGTACAAGTGCATTATACTAAGTGAAAAAAGCCTAACTTAAAAAGCTACATACTAGATTATTCCATTTAAATGGCATATTAGAAAAGGAAAACTATAAGAACAGAAAACAGATTGGTGGTTGCTAGGGATTGGGGTAGAAGAAGAAGTTACCTACAAAGAAGCAACATAAGTGAGTTTGGAAGGCTATAGAACTGTTTTAATTGTGGTGATAAATATACATTTGTCAAAACTCATAGACTGAACACTGATAAAAATGTTAATATACAACTGAAATCTGGAGAAGAATGATTACTTTAAAAGCCAGCTACTAAAAATGTCAGAAATTTTTAAGATAAATTGTTTATTTTTAGCACCAAATATGCCACACAGGGATACCAAAAGTTCAATGTACCACATTCAGCCACAACTTGTTTTATCCAGCCTCATTAACTATTAGAAAGAAAGTAAAATATTTTTCATTTCATGCAATGCTGATTGTAGATAGTAGGTACTCTGAAAATATCTTAACTAATACACAATTCAAAAGTTTAGACTGATTTGTCCTTTCTAATTCTACTTCACTGGTACATACATAACGTAACTTTAACCACAAAATTATCCATTTCTCAAAATATTAACATATAATTGGAACAGGGAAGTGCTGTCCAGAAAATACACTAACCTGAATTTGTTCAGTTAACCAATAAAGGCAATAAATCACTTGATCTTGAATGAAAACACCATCAGGGTCATGGATGCCCGCCTAGCAAAAGCAGAAACCTGGAACAAAAGAAAAATACATAAAATTCGGACCTAGTCAAACTTCAGTTAGCATTATTATACTTTTTTTAAAAAAACCTTTAACTTTCCCTTACGTAGCCAGTCATAACATGTAAATTCACTTATTCTGTACATTTATTTACTCTACAAGAAGTGCTTTCCAAATGCTAATAGGAATGGGTTTTCATTTTGCAAATTATACCCAAACTCAGTAACACTCAGTGTCTTCATTTTCTTCATAGTTCGTTCATCTTAAAATAAGATAGCACCCATGAAACTTGCTTTGTGAACACAAAATTCTTTAATTGTCTACCTTTTAATATGCAGGGCTATCAGAAATGTCTCTCTGTTCATACTAATGCTCAAAACCTTTAAAGGAAGTTCAATTAACTCTACAACCTATTAATAGTTTCTTACTATCTTCTACACAAACTTCCACCCAAGCCAATTTAATTTGCTTGCTTTCCATAGAACACTTTTGTGATTCTCAGTTCTCACCCTGCAAACACACCATTCCTTCTTTTTAGAAGACGGACTTTTTCTCCTTTATCCTCTTTGTCAATCAATGCACATCTGCCAACTTTCTCAAATTCTAGCCCCTCTTTATCACCTAGTCTAAGAGTTGATATAACATTAATTTTGCTAGACTATTTTGCTGTATGTATGTATGTGTATGTGTGTATATATACACACACACACACACACACACACACACACCATCTCATAGAGTCTCCCAATTAGGGACCCTTCTATTTCTTTTGTTCCTGCAAAGGCAGGAACAACCAGTACTATGTTTGGCACACAGTAAGTAATCACTATGATTAATCAACAAGTGAAATGATCTTAATAAAGAGTCACATATCAAATGTACTTTAAGTATATAGGTACAAGTCACTAAGTACAAAAACCTAAGAATAACATAAAGGCACAATACATTCTACGGAAACATGTTGAGATTATTCTCAGATTGACATTATTATTTATTGTGAGAAGCAGCTTTTCTCCAATGACATTAAAGCCTACAGAAACCAATTTTAGGCAATTAGAACTAATACAGAAGTACCATCACAACTTAAACTCCTCTAGTAATACAACTATTTTCGTTTTAAATTCCAAAGTCAAAAATCTGCTCTCAGACAGAATAGCCTATGAGAACATTCAATAAATTACTCTAAACCCAAAATAATAAGGACATTTGTATAGTGCTTTATTATTTATATTATTTCATCTGATAGACCTATTTGAAGAGAACAAACAACTGCCAAGTCAACTACTCCTAAAGCAATTCCTAAATGGCCATTAAGTCTAAAATCAGCCAAGGTTTATTGTGATTCTTTAACTTCACTCTAAAGTCTTTGTCAACTTCCCATGATAATCCCATGGTATGGGATTTATACTTCTGGCCATTAAGGAAAAACTGGTACCAGATTTATTCTTAGATGGTAAACAACTGCAAAACTAGACAAAATATATGATGCAACAGTTTCCATACACTAAACGACAATTAGTGTAGATCTGTGTTCTCTGAAAGAAGGAAACAAACTAGATAAGCCCTATGAGCACCATGGCTTTCTGCCAAGATACATGCTCTAGACACCACTGTAGGCAGAGATTTAAAGCACAACAGAGCAGTACCACTAACTTGAAGAGACAAAAATCAGAATTCAGAACAGGGGAGGTGGCAGGAATCACTGGAATAATATACCCAAAAGGAGGGAGTTAAGTAGAAAAAAGCTCTAGACACCTACATTTGGGTCCACTTGAGTCTTCAATTTAATACTAATGTAACACATACTTAGGGTGAAAGTCCATAAGGTCAGGCAAAAAAACAACTTCCAGGAGCTAAAAAATGAACTCAGGGTTGACACTGAGCTGGGAAACATTTTCATTCCATCCAACCACAATAGAGAGATCTGATTTACACTCTAGCCAATAAGTAGAGACCTCAGGAGGGCTAAATTAGTCCCAGAATAAATACTACTCGATAATGATCCCAAGAGAGCTTAAAAATAAGCCAAGAAGGAACAATCTGATCCTCAATTTAACACCTACAACCACCAGCCAGAATGGAAAACCTCATGATTCATGGGCATAAAGTATTCAGAAGGGTTGTGCCTCAGAAGCAGGGCAAAATAAATCCTAGATTAAGTGGTTCCACTTAACGATGTAAAAGCAGTACCTGAAAGTTAAAAAGCACTTTCCAAGTAAACTAAATACATCCCAGGAAAAAGCTCAAGAATATTTATATTCTTTATTTATATACAAAAATATCCAGCACCCAACAAGGTAAAATTAACAATGCCTTTCTTTTATATGCCTGGTAAACATCAATCGATTATCCAGCAAGAAAACAAACAAACACTATGGCAAGAAAATAGAGCCAAAATCAGGAGAAATAGCAACCAATCAAAACCAACCCAGAAATGACACAGTTGACAGAATTAGGAGACTAAGATATTAGGTTATTACACATGTATTCCATATGTTCGAAGAGCCAGAGCAAAGTTTAAGTATATTAAGTAAAGACAGAAAAAAATGGCCCAAATTGAACATCTAGGAATAAAAACTAGAATATAGTAGAGATGGTCTTCATGACACTTGGTGAATTAGGAAGTTTTCTACTCTCCCCCTCGAATTCAGGCTCTATTCCTGGCCTTGTGTGAGCTCTGAATGTTTTACTGTTCCCCCAATTCAACCAAATCTGAACTTCATAGAATAAATCCCTTTAGAATAAAGGATTTGTTCCATAAAATTTGGATTCAGTCAAATGGCCACATTCAAGGATCCAGAAGACCACAGACATCATTTATTTTAAAGGGGGAATATGAGCTAAATTAACTTTGTGAGAGCACTGAATGCTGAAATTTCCACTGACTGCTGAAATTTTGTAAAAATCAGATGTGTTCAATAAATATCACTCATAATTTTAAGTTATCCTAAAGCAAAGAAGCACAGATAATGGATCCAATAATGAGAGAGGACTCATGTGAAATAAGTACATTTGAATAATAAGTATATTTGTATAGTGCTTTATTATTTATATTATTTAATCTGATAGACCTATTTGAAGAGAACAAACAACTGCCAAGTCAACTACTCCTAAAGCCCATAAACATGCAATTCCTAAATGGCCATTAAGTCTAAAATCAGCCAAGGTTCACTGTGATTCTTTAACTTTACTCAAAAGTCTTTGTCAACTTACCATGATAATCCCATAGTATGGGATTTATACTTCTGGCCATTAAGGAATAACTGGTACCAGATTTATCAGAAAATATTACCATACAAGAAACTAAAAGCATATATATAAGAAATGAATAATATGTAGTAGAAAAAAAGATTAATCATAAAAGTGAAAAAAGCAAATACCAACAGAGTACAGATACACAATATCCAATAATCAGCAAAATAAAAGCCAACATAAGAAAAAAAGCATTTTAGAAAAGATAGAAATTTAAAGATTTCTCTGAGAAAAAGAAATGTATCTGGGAATTAATAACCAAGGATGCAGCATATGATTTCATATATGCTCAAATATATGCAGGAAATTATTCATTTAAGAGGAAATGATATACTTGCTTATCATTAGTGACACTGGAATTCAGTCAAATATTACAAAATCTGCTGTAGACTAACTGAAGGTGTACATATTAAAGGAAGAAAAGCAAAGCCATAAGTATTACAGAAGTCTTCAGGGAACATAATACCTATAGAACTAAATAAGTATTTTAAATTTTAAAAGGATATTAGGAATCGCAGGTTTTATTTTCAATCTGTGGTGTTAAAGAGTCATTTTTTACCCACATTATTAGGAAGAAACAAGACTGTGAGCTAAATTGAACATATAAAAGAAAAACAGCAAATGGCCCATTGATTCTCATCTTCAAAAATAATGCCCTCTTCTAAAAAAGGACTCTCCCCACACACAATCACATATGAAATGAGGAAAAAATTAAAGGTATGGGAAAACAATACATGTTTAAGAGATAACAAAAAGAAATTCTATCAGGAATGAAGTTGGTCATTGTTTGGAAAAAGGGAAAAGTAGTACTGTGGTGATAACAAAGCTATTTTACCCATATGGAGTAAAGGTTATAAATATGTTTAAATTGAAAACCTAAGTATGACCCAAGTACTAATGAATTTCATAACACTGATGGTCCTACAGCCATTACTATGTATCCCAAGCTAGACTTTAAACAGGGAGGTGCTTCAAAAAGGAAGGTATTATTATTACATATAGATGAGACTACCAGATTGAAGTGGGGTAGAGCAGGGGAGGGGACAGCCTAACAGTGGCTGTTCACTAAGAATAATTTTACTACTGGATAGCTGTCAGTCTAAATATAGTAAGGGGCATACTGCTGCTGACTAAGATTTTAAAAAAGCATTAAAGTAGGACATCTCAGTGTCTTCTACCTATGGATCATTAAGAGAGAAAACACAAGAAGAGAGAATGCCTCAAAGGAGAAGAGCACACTGTTATTGGTGTATTCCTCCCTTTCCTTCTCCTTTCCCTATTATTATTCTAGTGACTCCAGTGTAACAAGGGAAGTTGCATTCTTTCAATATTGGCAAAGAGGAATAGGTAAAGCAGGTGATATTAATGAAAAGAGTAAGTATTTTGTATTAACAAAAACTAAAGAGAGACTAAAATGAATTTTAGAAATAAGTAAAAAAACTAAAAAGTCAGTTTTGTCCACTATTTCAACAAAAATAAATTAACCACTGTAAGATTGTCAAACTAAGGGAAGCAAATGTTTCCTATAATTACCCTGACAATTAACATTACTTTAAAGGAAAATAAAAAGTTGTTGGAATTAACTTACTACTTGCTGTCTTTTCCTGAGATGTGTCTACATGGTCAATATAAACTAGTACCAAAATCAACTTTAATAATTTGTTTTAGTTTCTTACCAATTAATAAGGCCTATTTAATTATTTATTCATATAGGTCTAGGTAAATCTGTGCTAAATTTTTGAGTTGTTTGATATTACAA